AAAATTATATTCTTCTTTATATCAGTGGGAGAGTAAATGTAAATATTTGGTTATAAATTACCCACAATTTATTCTCCTAATTTGTCTGGTCATATTTAAAATACACGTACAATATTTTATTCCTAATACATTGTATATAAAATTGCAATAATGCAAGTTTTAGTGTGATGTGAAGAAGGGGACTTTCTTTTACTTATCTTCTTTCCCATAACATAATAATTATGTTTTTGTTCCGAACCAGTTGAGCATGGTTTAACAATATAATGGAGGCAGGGGTCAAAATGACACCTACCTCAATTTTTTCTTCATTTCATTTCTTCAGTTTTTAAGTGTTTTCTTTTAAACATGATGTTTCCTCATTTTTTATTCTCTTTTTGATATAATTGCAATCTACAACTCATTTTAAAAGGTTTTCATTATGAGGTATGTCGAGAACAGCAGGATGATTTTTGAATTGAATTGAATTTGCCTTATTTTATGTGGCGAGACTCGGGCCATCAGGCCTGCTCTTCCGTCTGACCACGCAAATTTCGCTACTCTCCTTTCATTTACTAGAAGAGAAAGGAGTTATTTCTTAGGCGAGAAACAGGCGATTTGAATTTAGCTCAGAGGCATCATTTAGGCTTGAGGATCTGTTACATGCAAGTAAATCTACTAACATGGGACAGCCGGCTTTACTTCCCCTCCGAAGGAAGGCGTACGAAGAATTTTTTTACCCTTAAAAATCCACGGCTTCGATCGGGATTGAACCCGTGAACTTGGGTACAATAGTCCGGTACGTTAACCGTTACACCATCGCCGCCGCTTTTGAGCCTTATTTTATTTTATGTCGTAAAACTACCTTATTCAGAACTAGATTTGTTTGTTCGGTCTAATTGTGTTATTTGTGAAGATATTACAGTATCACAGTCTCAAAACAGTTGATAGCTCTTTTCACCAAGAATGATGTGATTTTTGTTGTATAGTAGTATTCAAGGAATATTGTGGCAATAACTGTCTCCCTTGCTTAGTGGGCATGTAACTGAATGAATGCATCTGTGATAAGTTTCTTCCATTTTAATGAACCAATGATTTGCTTTATGAAGAGAATCGTGAAATCAGAAGATGAAAAGAACAAAATTGACAACTGGACCATGTCTCTCGAAGAGTTGAATGCAATAACTGGCATCATGTACGTGTGATGTGCTCTTTGTGCAAAAGATTTTTTGGTGGATGATTTTTGTTCTTGTTTTTTGGGAACTGAAATTCATAAAGAACACAATGCCAAGAGAGATTCCGAGAGCTGCTCAGATTCATTGTGATGATAAATCAATCCGATTTAAACACTTTTGTGCATTGATTGTTATTGGTGTAAATGTAGCAATTAGTACTTCTAAGCAAAACAGGCATGCAGGGACGCGCAGGTACATCCAGTGTATGATGAACAAACTTGGCAAATATGGACTGATGTTCTGGGTCGCTGCTGATGTAATAAGAAAGTACATGTGCAATGCCTTCCTGTATCTTTGTAAAGAGGATGCACAAGCAAATAAAAAACCAGTCAATGAATGTGTTGTTCTGTGTCGTACGAAGCCATTTCTATACCTGGGAAGAAACATGACGACTTACAAATTTTACACATCTCTTCAACTCTCCAAAAAGCTCAAAGAGAAGAAAAAAACATCAATATTGGGGGCAATCCATCCAATTCATTGTTTTATTTATTTATTTTATTAATATTTGGACATTTTTGTCCAGGTACATAGAAAATTACAATTATATTTGTCGGGATTATAATTATAAGAAATCGATCCACCCTAAGTCTTTAAACGCCAGTTTTGACTGTACAATTAATGCAAATTTTGAATGTAATAAATCGCATAGTACTTAAATTAATTATTCATATCTCAGACTACAGATTCAGCATTCACAGTGAAAACTTCATTTATGCCTATTATTTATTATTATATTAAGATGTTACACAAATTGATTCTTTTGCATAGTCTCGCGAGATGATTGTTTTCTGTATACAGTATACTTAATTGTAAAAATTGGTATAAAATAATGGAAGGGTTTGTCTATTTATTCTTTTTGGAACGTTGAAATTCCAATCCATCAAGAATAAAAGAATTGAAATAATACTGTTTACCAGTTTATTTGTAAACTTCATATCATTTAATTCCGTCATTGATTTCAATGATGGAGTGTTTAAAATAGTCATTATTTCTTTTATTGTGGTCTGTAAATGGATCAGGTAGACTATATTAGGGAGAGATCATTCTAAAGAATTTGTGCTAAACTGTTTCTTAAAGTTTTATGTTTGGTAAAGATAAGACAGCAAGTTGACAAGGCAAACAACAGTAACGGTCTGACCAGAAGTAAATTCAATGATCTCGAACCTTTTTCTGAACTTAGTTCTCTAAGAGACCTAACAAAACCTAACATTTGGATTGATTTATTAATTATTTTGTCATATCAATTAAATGTCGTTTTGCAGTCAAAAATAACTTTTAGATTTTTATAGAATTGACCGTAGATAAATTTCTCACATTGATGGAGTAGACGTTATCAAAAAACGTTCTAAGATGACTAAATGTACTTGAAACACATTTTCTGGGTTTAAATAGACAGTGTTACTTTTCTCCAAGTGCTTAGTACATCAAGCCAGTTTTAGAGGATCTAAAATATCATCTCAAGAGATAGTAGATTTAAAATTTTTTAAGGCTTCTGCCAACAACAAAAATTCCACATTTTTTCAATTTTAGGCTTCAATCATTTTTAAACATTATGAATAGTGACTGTAGAATTTAGTATTTCAAATTTTAAAAAAATCATTTTTGGAAACAAAGCTATAGTATTTTATAGCACAATAAAAATTGAAAATTTAGCATTTTGTAGCATTTGTGGAAAACATTATTATTAATGCAAGTATCTTTGAGATAAAAAATTATTTTGATACTTTTTACATTTTCCCATTAAAATCAGAAAATATGGGAAAAGGAATAAGGGAATTTAATATTTTTCTTGAACTTCAGCAAATATTTAAAGAGGTAATTATAAATCCATAGAAAGAATTCTGTCTTGTATAGAATAACACTACTCAAAGGAGGAAAAGGATTGTAATTTCAATTTGTAAATACTTATTAAAACAACACATTCTTTTAAATAGTCGTGCATTTTGTTTATTGAAGTCAATTTCTATAAATACGTATTATCATTATGTAACATAATCAGTGTAAAATTAACTGAGAGGATATTTCTATGTTGGCTTCCTTTAACCTATTTCTTCTGTCAGTAACAATTAAACGATATTAACTGAAAAATCATTCATTGTTGGTTACTGTCAAATTAAATGTCTTTAAACAGTGATATGTTGATGTCGCATCTCTATTTGGACATCAAACACGAAAGATACAACAAAATGCAATTTAGCAAATATATCACTGATTCGCAACAATTTTGCATTTTGCAATCGATTTCGCTTTTTATGTAATGTACTGCATTGACAGACAATTACGAATTTTCTAGGAGCTAGTTTCACAAATCTACCATCTCTAATTATGAACATTAAGTGGTCCAAGGTGAGAACCCTGGGGTACACTAGTTAGTACATAAATTTCACTAAAAATGAAATTTTTATACTTCATGTACTGGATTCTACCTGTTATATAATCATCCAACCAACTTAACAAAGAACCTGTGATGCCAAATGATTTCAATTTATGTATAAGTATTATATGATTAAAGGAGTCAAAGGCTTTACTGAAATCAGTGCGTATGTTGTAGACGTGAATTTTCTTTCCCATTGAATTAAAAATATGAGTTTATGTAATTATATTTAAATCGATGTTTCTATCTGTTATGAAACCAAACTGGTTTGTCGAGATAAAAGGAAAATTGACGTTCTTAATCTTATCCATTATAATAGATTCAAATAATTTTGGTATCGGATTTAAAATAGATATGGGTCTGTAATTTGAAATGTCATTGATTGAGTCAGATTTATGTATTGGTGCAATAAATGTACTTTTCGTTCTGTTGGAAAAATACCTTCTGTTAATGATTTGGTGAATATTTTTTCTTGAATGTATGAAAAGATACAATAATATTCTTTCAACACGATTGGAGGTATTTCATCTGGGCTTGCATTTTTTCCCATTTAATTTATTAATCTTACTAAGAATATCATTTATTGAGATTTGAATAGTATCACAGACATGGAGTAGGATCCTCAATGTTTACATGTAGTTAATTTATTTATGGGTTTATAAAATATTTTAAATTATTCTGCAAAAGCATTGACAATACAATCACCATCAATAAGTTTTAGTTATATGCGATCATATTGGGAAGCCCTTTACTGTCTCTTTTAGATTTACATTATTCCAAAAACTTCTAGGATTTAAAGCAATGTATATTCCTATTTGGGAAAAAAAGTATTTAAAATCACTTCTCGCAAATCTTTTACTAATTTGTCTCATTGTTGCAAAATTTGAGTAGTATATTACGAGACACTCTGTTTTTTTGTATATCGGTATTTCTAAATCCCTATCTATTATCTATCTGATCAATAAATACCTATCACATATCATGCCATGTTCTAATGAATTACGTTGTACAGTATTTGATGAAAAATATTAAGTATTTTTTCAATATTATTTTATGTGGTGTTTTAGTTATTTGTAATGTTACATATGTAATACAATATAATTATTGTTTAAGAAATTAAATTTCATATTACTTTCCAAAATTTGTTAAGGGTGAAGGGCAGGGAGGAAAGCAACAGAACTGGAATGTAGTTCTGGAAACAAACTCTTGTTGCAAGTAAAATGAACAATGCTGGCAGTTTTTAAATGATTTCTTTGATCTAAAGTTACTATTTTTGATAACATAATATTCACTATATTGTGTTTAAGTTTGTTTTGTGAATTGTTATACAGTTGTGGGTAGGGGGGGGGGGGGTTAAAGCTTGATCATTGTTAACCAAAAAAGAACAGGCAGTACTTTCTGTTTGTCTGCAGGTTGCCGCCCAGCAGCAGTATGTTCCTGTATCCATGGTGGAACAAAGTGGCCGTCAGATGCTGCTCACAGTAAGTGGTTGATACTCAGCAAGGGCTTTTTATGCATTTCTCACTTCATATCATGTTCTAATTCATAACAGCTTGGGAAAAATAATCAAACTGCAAGCATGCTGTTTAAATTCAGAGAAAATTAGTGATATAAAATTGTGTACACTTTGTTTTTATTTTTGTTTTGTTATTAATGAGTATGTGTGTTACTTTGAAAATATTTTCTTATTGAATGGCTGGAAAACCACGATACATGTTATTTTTGATTGTTTTAACTCCAATTTCTGTTTCTCTTCTCCAGACGTCATGAACTCATTAGGTCAAACAATTCTTTTTATCATGATTCCAATGACAATAGTATACTTCTGCAAAAGCTTTTCTAAAACATTTTAGCATCTGAAAAAATGGTGTCTGCTGAAATAGCTTCCTGAATCTTATTTGATTTGTGCTAATTTCAGAATTCTTTGTCTAATCTTTCTGCTGAGATATTCACATGTTTACTACTGTATATTTTCCTGTCAGTTACCTAATTCTTTGAGAATTCACAAAGCCAAAATCTTTTATACTGTGATTTTCGCACTTCAGCCCCTGGCAGGTATCAGATGTTGGCAGTTTCATCCAATCGAGACCTTGAATGTGACCATAGTGATGTCACTATGATGACATTCAAGCTCCAGTCAGTAGCTAATACCTGCCATGGGCAGAATTGCATAAATCGCAGTGTATGCCATATTTTGAGATTTTGAGGTGTGAAGAAACTACAACATCCACAAGAAGAGACTATTTGTTTCTCTTCAATAAGAAATGTTTTAGGGATGACGCAGTTGGTAAAACATTGTCCCTCGTGGCGAGGGACATGGACATGGACAGATTTGTGTTTCTGCTTCAGTCTTTGGATTGAAACAGAACTGAAAAATGCTCCCCAATGCTACCTCTGACTTTTTCACTTAAAAGATTTTTGGCCCAGAAAGATCTGGACCTGCAATTCCCCTTAAGTTACATACCAGTTCCATTGAGAAATGCTGTGTTATTGAAAGTATTAATTGCGGGTCACATACAAAAAGGAACCGGGCAGTGGTCTACATCAGTGTTTGTTATCATTCTTATCTAACGTTTGGGAGATTTTGAAATGGTCACATGCAAACACACCAATGAGACATTTTTCAAATTTAACATTCAATAAACCATTGCTGTTATTAATTCATGGTGTAAGAGTACAGTTTTGAAAACGTAAATCACTGATAGTCTCTGACACACACAGTTTCGGACTCGAACATTATTGTTTGTTTGTTTTTTAATATTAAATTTGGAAAATGATGTTTTGTTGAATTAAAGAAACTCAAATTTCATCAGAAAATACACACACACAGTACTCTCTCACTCACTTTGTCACATTCTTTCACTCACGCTGTCTCTCACTCTCACTCTTCTCACTCTTCTCACTCTCTCTCTCTCTCACTCACTCACACTTCTACATGACACACATTGGTTACTCTATTAATCAATCATAATGGACCAGAGTCTGTAAATTAATAAGTAAATAATATCAAGCAAAACTTGTTTGTACAAGATAACCTATATCAGAGGTGTCCAACTTGCAAGGCCTCAAGGGCAGCAACTAAAATCTTTAATATGGTTGCAGGCCATATTTTCATTACTTGGGCAATCCACACCTGACACCCCGTATTGTTGATGTCACTTGGCCCGCCTGCTCTGAAAGGGGGGGGGGGGTAACATGCATTACATACAGGCTGTACCATGTATAACACAGGGAAACACGGAGGGATGATATTGAAATTTTGAATTCATTAGAAAAATATCCTTAAATCTAAACTTGAGCTATTTTTACATTAAAAGGAGTGTTGACCCTGGCAGGGCACGTGTGCTAGGTGCAGAATGTACTCGCCCAACATGGATGAAAGGGACTTTTGACTAATAACCTTTCGCGGCCCGCCATTTGGACAACTCCGATCTATATGAAACGTTAAAACCGAGGATGCAGCATATCCCTATGCCACAGTAATGAATGACGTTCGATTTTACTGTTTGATAGATGAATAACAGTTTTTATTCAAATCAAAGAATACAAATAATCTCGAATTACATCCAAAAACATCCTTTACGGATGTTAGTTATGTGGAACTAGTACTTGTAAATGTAAATAATGCAAATCTTTCCCATTTTAAATTATTTCAGTTATGCGTTTTACGTTTGTACATTTTTCACAATCATACGTTCGTAACAAAAGTCCCTTTAAAAGCATATAACGTTCAAATGATCCCGGTGAGGCATGGGGCGACCTGCGCAGAGAGCCCGAAACTTGTATGTTACTTGAGTCGGCACGCTCCAGAGCGCTCCCGCGGAGCGACGTGTCGCTCGGCCGCTGAGGCGACTTTCCGCTAATGAAACTTGTAATTTAGAAGCTCAATTTGGCCTAGCTGAGGGGTAAGACCGCGTGAGCGGGCGGGCTGGCAGGGCAAAGTCTGCTTCCAAGCCACCTCAAGGAGCGGTCAGGTGCGCACGAATTGAATATCTGAGGAGGCGACGGCGAGCTCCGAGGGAAGGCCAAAAGCGTCCCCAGGAGAGAGCAACGACGTAGATGGCCAAGAAGTAAAATCTCTGACTGTACCGCTCTCCGAAGACCCTTTTGCTCGCTGTAATTATCATACGAGATCCATTCGGTAGCGCCATGGCGTAAGCAGTCAATGTAATTGATCTCTTTTCCGCGCAGCGCAGCGGGTGACGCCAGGCTATGGCAGTCATGCGCTTCCTGTCGCCCACGTAGAACACCGTGCTTTGACCCACGGAGTCTCAAGTAACATCAAGCTTGAAACCGAAGCAACCAGACGCGGATCGCCGCCGCCGGTTGAAGCCCACGCAGGACACGGCCTTCATTTCCGCAGTGAGACTGAGCTGCATAAGGTCATCAGTAACGTCCCCATTGCGTGTCTTCGAATCCACCGCAGGAGACACTGCTTTGATGATGATCAATCGGACGAATATATTTTTCCAAGCTGGCCAACGTAATTTGTTTCTCTGAGGCTCTATGTTTAAATCGAAGTATAGTTCGTCTTCTATCTGGTTTTGCGTTCGCGATATTAAACGAAAAAGAATGGTAGATAAAGAGACATTCGCAATAATAAAGTAGACATTGGTAAAGAACTGGGAAAACGACGGTGTAAAAAATATTCAGTCTTTATTTTGCTCATAAATTTCAGTTATGTTTTTCTTACTTACACAATTTTTACCCTCAGACCCCTGAAAAACATAGAAGTGAAGTTTTACTTTATTATGCAAAACATTATTTTCAAAGTTACCTTTATTTGTGGCAAAAAATATGACACATCTTCCTTTCCACGTCACATTGAGAATAAGAATAGTTTGGTCGCATTTATAATGTTGCTGGGAGGCAGTGAGTGGGTCGTAGGAGTGTGCAACAGCCATAGCGTTGGCTAGGTGCCTTAGTTTCCTCACTGTAGTATTTTAGGCTGAGTGGATTACTCCGGATCCTAATTTTCTTTCTCAGTTTCAGTGTTTCAATTTCAGTTTCAAGTAGTTAAACAATGCTTCAAGCTCCATCTGAGCAAGTTAATTCTTTGGAAGTTTGGTAATGGAGAAAATGAAGTTTTTTTGATGTTTGGCTGATTTATGAAGAAATATGAGTATAATCTACATTTTGAAATGATTGCGAGTTATTTTTTTTCTCTCTCTCTCTCTCCTTCTTCTTCTTCTTCTTCTTCTTCTTCTTCTTCTTCTTCTTCTTCTTCTTCTTCTTCTTCTTTAAAATTTTTTTTTTTTTTAATATTTTTTCAATGTTGGACAAATGTTGTTATTTGTGTCAACCAGAAGAGATTGAATGAATTTCATGCAAGGTATTAAAGAATCAATGGAGTCCTTGTTTCTTGTTAATGTGCCAAAATTTGTGGAATGTATTTTGTGCACAATAAGTATGTTACAAATTACAAAAGTGTCGAGTAATCTTAAAAAGTCAAAATGAAATAGCTGGTGATTAGCTGGCTATTCAATATTGAAGATGTACAAAAAATTCATATTTGAGGTGTATCTTTGTTTGTTTGTTTTTTATGAATGTCATATCTCTTAGGGGGGGTACATTAAGTTTTTGAGTGTAAATAATAGTAAGACATTTTGAAGAAATTCAATATTTTTGATTTTGATTAAGAAAAGGTATGCAGCTCTGATTTTGATTAAGAAAAGGTAGCAATTATTTAAGAATGGACTTCTAATGGCAGTTATAATTTGCATAGCCTGTATGGTTTGTATGTTGTTGTGTTATGTTTAAAAATTTGCTTCATTGTAATATTTTAATCTTGTCTTATTATGTAATACAAGGAATTTTAAAAAAAAGAAAGAAAGAAAGTAACAGCATGCTCAGAGGTTCACCACCAGTGGGGGCGTAACTGGCAGCTCTGTTCCCAGAATGCAGTGCAGACAACATGGCCAAGCAATCGACAGATGGTTGTTCCATCTTGGCAGCAGTTGCCTCCTCAGCATGCAGCCATTCAGCAACCTCTACTCTCAGATGCTGGTGATTGGGGGAGGCCTCTCATTGTGGACTCCAGCACTATTTTGCAAGTGAGTAATTTCTCTCTCTCTCTCTCTCTCTCTCTCTCTCTCTCTCTCTCTCTCTCTCTCTTTCTCTTTCTCTCTCTTTCTCTCTCTCTCTTTCTCTCTCTCTCTTTTTCTCTCTCTCTCTCTCTTTCTCTCTCCCACCATCCATCCCTCCCATCCCCTCTCTCCCTCATTTCATCTCCCTTCATCCCTATTCTTCCTCTCCCTCCCCTCTCTCCTTCCCTCCCTCCCTCCCCTCCCCTTCTCTCTATGTCCCCTCTCTTTCCCTTCCTTCACCTCCCAATAATTATTATTGAACTATCGTTTTGTTGTTCCTTAAAATTATCACAAAACTGGTTTTGTCCTACCTCAACAGGTTCACAATGTTCTTTTTGATCAGATGCAATGGCATCTGGGTTTTTACACCCCTCTGAAAGTTATGTGTATTTTATATACGTTGTTCTTGGTCTATCATCAAACTAAGAACAATTCCTTCTGTGTTACCAGAATTTCTATCTGTCCCACGCTTGTCGATAGCCTCTTTCTTCAACAGTTCAAAACACAGATTTGCTTATACCAGGCATTGAACCAATATTCTGTGCAGTCTCATCGAACCCGCATTGTGTAACAAAATCTAAGTATTCATTTTCAGATTATGTTTCATTTGATATAATACTAGTCATTTGAAATACTTTCTTTACCAGTCCATTCAAAAATATCGGTCTGAATTGCCTGGAAATTCACTGTGGGTGCTGAGAATATGATCCTGAATATAATTACGTATTATAGATATGCGTGATATTTTTATAATCTTTGCAGTTTATCGTTATGCCAAAATTTATGAGTTTTGTGACTGGAATGGCAATGTAAAAACTGAAACCCCCAACAGATTAGGCTTAATCTGCAACCATTAGATGACCCCTCATTTTTCTACTGATATGTTTAAGAAATTATCTTATCTTCTATTCCAGTAAATATGATACGTATTTTCCCAGGATGTACTTCCTAGTAATAGTAAAGGTAATTTATAGCAAATTAAATAAATGCTTTTGCTTGGTAACAAATGCTTTTTGTGCTTCAGACTTAAGTAAAAGTCTAGGTTTTTATTCATACTTCCCAATGTTGCTAAGCATTGATATTAAATTGCTCAGACAATCAAATAGACCCCTTAATTTAATCATGAAAAATTATTTTTGTCACTCTTCCTTCAATTAAATTTTACATCCAATTTAGTTTGTTTGTTTCTGATTACCTAAGCTATAGAGTGAGGGTACACAGAAAAGCTAGATCTCTAAAAAAATGAAATGCATTGTTCAAAAGGGGCCGTGTTTATAAAAAATTGCTTAAGAAATACAACGTATTACTTATATGCATGGTATAAGGATTACCATGCATATATGGGGGGGAGGGTGCATTTACATTTATGTGTGTCACTCTGTGAATATTTATGATGATCAAAAGAGTAATTTTTATTCCTTGGGTTTGTGCAGGAACACAGGCCTGTTTTTCCTGTTGATGTCGCAACAGAGGTGTATGATCCAACCCTAGTGGACCACCATGCTAATCACCATTCGTCAGCATCTGTAGTCAATTCTGGTGGAGGATCGTGGACAAACAAGCGAGGGGTTTCCAAAAGTTCGCATCATGCTGCTGCAGCTGCTGCTGCCGCAGCGGCGGCTGCTGCTGCTCAGGTTTCAACAAGCAGTCAGCACTCATTGGCACCACCTCCAGCACAACAGATGACACATCACCATCACCACCACCACCATCACTTGAGTGTGCAACACACTAAAAAGGAACCCACGCAGTTGAGTCCTGTGAAGAAACGTGTGAAAGAAGGCACTCCACCTTCAGGTATGCTATGTTCAGTGCGTTTCTGATTATATTCACTTACATCATGCTGGTGTGAAAACATAAGTAGTTGGAATCTCTAATATCAAAACTTTTTAACATTTACATTTAACATCTTAATTGTTAAACATTTACTTGTTAAGAATAACAACATCCTAAATGTATATTTTGCATGTTACTCCATTATCAATGCATCCACACTTCTTAATATGCCAGCAGAATTTTTGTTCACAAAGTCGATGGATTCAGTTGCACTCAGTTTATTAATTAAATGAAATTTCAATGACTTATATATTTTCTATAGATATCAGCTATATTTAATTTTGTGTATCTTGTCAACTGCATCCTAATAATTGGTTCAGTTTTCAACTGCATCCCCGATTAACAAAACCACTGCCTTCTTGGAAAAAAAACACTTTTTCTTCTTATGCCTACACTCATTTCACATGATGTTCTTTAAATTCAACACACCATCATTGCCTACAAAAGGTTCATTGTTTCTTTCTTTGACCATTTCCTTTTACTTACATTTAGTATGCCAAAAATTGTCTTTGAAAGTACTGTTCTTCCTATACCAACTCACGATTTTGGCCAAACTTTAGTTGACAACACCGTTTCAAACAATTGACTCAACATGTTTTCCATTCCTCCTGGAGAACAACCAGCTTATTAAAATGTGAAGTGCAAAATGTTAACTGTTAAAGTGTTTAATTTGTGGAGTTGTGATAAATATACACTTGTATATGTTTTTAACACAATATTGTAGTGTAGTCATTGCTTAACAAATAGAATATGTGAATTATATTTATGAAAAGCTATTGTAGCATTAAAAGCTTGGATAATCAGTTAGAAACCTTGCTTCCGTATTCTAATGTTTTGATAGTAAATTGTGATCCTTAATACTAATTTTCTGATGTTTTATCTCAGCAGCAAGTGCGTATTCTGCCAGTAGTAGTGGAAGCAGGCGGCGACATTCTCCTGTGGCCAGTAGCGCCACAAATGGCCATTGGCCACAAAATCACCAGCAGACTCAGAGTTCTGTAGTGCAGTCAACTGGCAAACATCACAGTCACAACTTGCAGCAACAAGTACAGCAGCAACAACAACAGCAGCAGCAGCAACAACAACAGCAGCAGCAGCAACAACAACAACAACAACAACAGCAGCAGCAACAACAACAGCAGCAACAACAACAACAACAACACCACCAACAGCAGCAAGTACAGCAACAACAGCAGCAACAGCAGCAGCAACAAGTACAACAACAAGTACAGCAACAACAACAAGTACAGCAGCAACAACATCAACAACAACAACACCTCCAGCAGCAACCTCCACCACCACAGTTGGATTCTCAACAAGCTCAGGTCAGAGCCAAAAATAAGGGCATTTTTTCTCTTACTTGTGTTCCTCTTCTTTGTATGTAAAATGCTTGTGTGTATGGGTGTAATTTGTTATTTGTACTTTGTCTTAATGCTAAAAAAATGTTTACTTTCCATTGAATGTTTTAACTCCCTATTACTCGCATAGGTATTTGGATACCACAAGATCTTTCATTTTTAATAACTTTGTGGCTGGGCTGTTCACATACCTTAGTGAATGTGCTCATTAATGGAGTTGTAAGAAATACATTTTTCTTTGATTCATTCTTGCACATGTAATAATATATAAGTTATCGTTTTGTGAAGTACCTTGGGGGATCTACGTACCCTGTGCGAGCATCTTTGTACCTTATCAAGGTTATAACATACAGTTGCATAGTAACTCTGTACGCAAGTGTATTTGTCAATACATTCTCTCCATAAGTGAATGAATGCAGTTTTCAATTATATAAGTTTGTAAACGCTACATTGCAGGTTCAACAAGTTGTGTCAGGACGTCAGCAAACTATCACAATTCATGATACACCATCCCCAGCAGTATCTGTGATTACAATATCTGACAGTGAAGATGAAGCTCCAGGCAAATGGTGAGTTAAATGGGCTCTTAAAAAATTTTGCAAATAATTGTTTGTTTGTTTACTCGTTTATTTATGTATTTATTCAGGCACATGTTGCTAAAAAGAATGGGCCACACCATGCATGTTACCTACTGTTAAGCAAATGTTACTTTCAACAAACATTAGAAAAGTTGTTTATTTACTACTAAGGGTTTACACTATTCTTAAATCTCTTCAAACACAAGTTGACAAAGCAAATTTCAGGTGCATTTTCTATTACTGCCTCATTCCTTGACCTTTTGGAAGTTAAATGCACTTCAGCACAGGGTCATTTCAATGTATAGTTCTCCATTGTACATAACTAGCACCTTCACCATGGTCACTGAGTAATAGCTTTTTACTTTTAGATTCAAAATAATGTTCTGCTTGTTATCAATTTGTCGTAATTTCATATTCTTTCTCTTCAATGCCTGGAATCTTTCCTTGGAAAAACGTATGAACATTTGTTAGACTGCACTTATAAGAAACAATATTTCTTGCTAATACTCAATCTATATTACTTAATATTAGTCTGTGCTGCTTTTAAAATGAAGAATAAGAAAATTCTCCATTATTCAAGTCCATGTTGTAAAACCTTCTGTTCTCTTGATCTTACCAAACAGTTTCATACAGAGGGTAAAGAACTTCAATATTAAATATGGTTCGGTGTGAAAACAAGGCATCTGTGTGTGGCCATCAGGTGTGGCTTGTTGCGTAGTGTGCTGGCCAGTGTAGTGATTGTTGTGTTGGGTTTGTGTTGGTGACAGCTGTAAGGATAGGGACTGCGGCGCGTGCTGCGAGACGGGCCTTGGCCTAGCGTGCCACATCAGCTCGGACTGTCCTTCCGTGTTGACGATAGCCTCACAAGACGATGCGTGTCGCAGGTATCAACCACAACAAACAACAGAAAACAAGACACTTTTCTGTTCTTCTGCCTTGTTGCTGCCATTGCTGCTACTGCTGCTGGCTTGCCGCCTTCCACTGGCCACTTTCACTTGCTTACACCAGATAAGGCTGACTTTCAGGGAAACATTACGTTCCTCTTCAAGCATTGCTTCATGGGTGCTGTGTGATTATAAACTACGAACAGCAATTTGCTCTTGTCTCCTCTTTACAAATTAATAGCCTTTAATAATTAATAACAATTATGCCTTTGAAGGTATGTTATAGTCTATAATTTTTAGTCACTTTTAAATCAATATTCTGTTCTTGATATAAAACAAATTTTTGTTGGAAAAACTTTTTCTTTTAAATCATACAATTTTGAAGTCCTAAACTACATTAACCGTAGAATAGTTTTATTTTGTAAACAAACTTGTTAAGATTGGAATGTATTTTTAGGTTTGATTGTGAAGTTACATTTTTCTTTGTTACGTTTTTTATGATGATTGAGAATTTAATAAATTATAGAGATGTTGAAAACGTTTACTGTTGCTTGACCCCGTAATCTATAAGCAAAGGGGAAGAGTCAATGATGTAAAGTTTATAATAGTAAGCAAAATTGCTTTCATTAATTTTTCATGAAGAAAATAAATTCAACCAAAATTCACTTGAATAAAAAGTAAAATTTTTTTTTTAAGTAGCTGAAGTTGATCATTGACAATTTTCAAATTGAGGTCAGATGTCCTCTTAATATCATGTTCCTCGTGTGCCATTAAAATAATGGAAAAGAAATTTGGGTGATTTGGACTGTATACACTGACATTTCTTTTGCCTTTCATTTTGTAATTTCATACTCTGTTATGAATGGGAAGTTTCTGGTGTTTTAATTTAATTTTTATTTCTATTCCTGTGTAAGATGCATTTCATAAATTTTTGGCGTTTGGGGGACTAGAGCAAATGGCTGCTTCAGGACTCCTGCATGCAAGTTTGCTGGGATGAAATAACATTCTTTGGGGTGTTGTAATTTGGATAAGTGGATTGTGTCTCAGCCTTACATGCATATGGTGTTAAAGATGTCATCATTGATTATCTTTCCATTGCTTGATATTTTTGTAACCTTTGAGGTATTTACTTGGGAATATTGTAACTAACTCTTGTAAGTGTTTTCTTCAAATATTTAACAGTAGTAATTACATTTGTTTAATTCTTAAATTAGTCTTAATAATCCATACATTGTGTTGTTTCTAATGTCTGTTGCCTCATTTTGTGCTGAGTGTCATACTGGAGGCTTGCAATTTCACAGAGCAAATGCAAAACATATCTTTCACGAATTTTGCACAATTATCACTGCCTTTTAAACATGGGCAATCGTGTGCCTTGTTGTGGAAACTTAAAATATAGTTGTTAGTGACTTATTTTAACTTGTATTGAAAGAATAACTCTTCCACCATGTGGAAATTAAGATGGACTTGCATAACTGCTTCAAGAATGTACAGTTAGATATAACATTCTTAAGATTTTCATTCACAGTGAAATCTCATTATAGTGAAATTGAAAAGTTTTGTTTAAGTCAATGAACAATAAATAGATTATTCTTATCATCAGATCATTCAAATGTAATATATTCAGTACATCCAAATTGGTATTTTCAAATACGTTCTTTTAACCATTATACAGTGGACCAGTTAATTGAAAATGCTTTAGGTTTCGCATTTTGTTTTTATACTGATTGAGAATACCAGATAATATGATCTGTTTTGATACCAGTAGCATCAATGACAAGATCATGTTGCTGCATGTTTATTTTGAAACTTCAATTAACTTCATCAACTTCAGTGTTTTGACAAAACTTCAAAAGAAGAGAAAAGTGGCTTGATTATACCCCAAATTTGTTGAGTGTGATGTAGTTGCCTTAATTTTTAATATAAATTTGACAGTGGGAAAATGTAAGTTCTTATGCTAAATGAATCGTTTAGATATGTGTTTTATGGTGTATTATATTTACTTTCCCTACCAGAGAATATATTAAGAAATAACAATTCAGCCACGAAATGTATTTGCTTGCAACAATGCTTGTAAAATACTTTCACCTGATTCTTCAAATTATTAATTTTTTACTTTAGAAGAAAAATTTCTTTTATTAACAAAATGTGTATCTGACTTGTTTTACTTTCAAAAAAAATATGCACTTATTTTCCCTAATATGTGTGTATTTGATTTAATTTGTATGTTATGAATAGATTGAAGTTTTAATTTTTCTTGTGGTGCTTGGGAGCTACTTTGTAGTCGAGTCAATCTAATGTTACCGTATTTACCCGAATATAAGTTGCTTCTGAATGTACGATGACCCCTAATTTTGAAGAGGCGCCCTGAGAACTTTTAAAATTATTAACTACTTCTTACTATTTAGTCAAAATAAAATTAAAAATTGCCTTACTGATAAGAATGTTAAGACTTCCTGCTGAACTATCATTTTCTTGTTCCTTAAAATCATCACGATCATGGTTTTTGTCACTACCCTCATTATCTTCACATGAATCAAAGTTTCTTGCTTTGTGGGCTTCTATTCATGCTGCAACATTAAGCTTTTAGGCCCCTCTGAAAGTTTTTCACATTGAATTTTCATTGTTCTTAGTCTTTTATCAGATACCACCTAAGAACAATTTCTTCTGGGTCACCAGATTTTCTATCTGTCCCGCACTTGTTGATAGCCTCTTTCTTTAACAGTTCAAAATGCAGATTTGCTCTTGCCGGGTGTTGAACCGGGATTCCACACAGCGTGGTTGAATCCTCATTGTGTTACAAACTCTCAGCATTCATTTTCACATTACGTTACATTAGATACAACGCCATTTGTTTGAGATTCTTTACCGGCCCATTATATATATCAGAATTGCCTTGCAAATTCACAGTGGACCCCAAGAATATGACACCGAATATACTTTTTGTAGATACATGCTATATTTTTAGTCTTTACACTTTATTGCTATGCCAACATTTGAGTTTTGTGACATGGATGGGCAAACTTAAATTGTAACCGGCAAGGCTTGATCTAGGATATTCTCATCTAGATAAGACAAACCTGCATTTTTTGACTGATATTTTGAAAAAGAAGTCGTTTTATATTTGAGTAAATACGGTATTTCTTGTTCCTGGTACTTGCTCTTGTGAAAAATTTATAGTCAGGATGTTAATATTTGTTGCAACTATGCAAAGACATTTTCCTCAACGTTATTGAATTACAATTAGGTGTCTTCAGAAGGATGTTTCTTTATTTAGTTTTAATTATATTTTTTCGTAGAACACTATAAAGGGGTTTCACTGTATTGGCATCGTTATATATTCACAGAAAGTAATGTATTGTTATTCATTTTGAAGAAGGTGAAATAATGAACTGTCTATGAAGGAACTAGTAGAAAATTAAATTTTAGTGTTGCACAATTTGCACTAGTTGAGACCAGCTTCCACATTTAACACACACACACACATTCTCTGTTCTCTTGTTTTATTTTGTTTGATAGTTAAAACTAAAATAATGTTTTTGAAATAAATGTTACCATGAGAATTTCACTTGACATAAATGTTCTTATATTTCAAATTATAAGATTTGTAAATAGTGTTATTCAATTTTTTTACCCTCTGCCAAGAGTGAGTCTTAAGTTCATATTAAGTTTAGAACAACTAATATGGAATTCATTCACATAAAATGTTGGGTGTATTAGAAAAAGTTGAGAATGATATGTTTTGATTTAACAGTACTCAATCTACACCATCACGAAGCAATAGCACCCGGCAACGAAAAAATGTTATTTCGTGTGTAACGGTTGCTGATAGTGATGGAGAAGAACATCGTAGTCCAGAAAAACTCCAACAGCAGCAACAGCAGCAGCTGTATCTTCAACATACACAGCAGCAGCAAGCACATCAATCCCAGATCCAACCACCACAGATGGTTGTACAGACTTCCAACCAACAGCAGCAGCAACAGCAACAACCACAATCTCATCAACCTCAAATCCAACAACCACAGATGGTTGTACAGACACCCAACCATGTGGTGCGAGAAATTAAACATGAACCTCAACATAGGTGAGTGACCATTTACCTGAGTAATTGATATCTTATCTTCAATAGAAGTCATTCAAAAACTGAGTAAATGTAACAGGTGCACTGTAATTGAATGTGTGGCGACTACTTAAAATCACCAATATATTCACCCCTTGGATTTTGTCATCATTGTTATTCATTTAGAATAGAAAGAAAAGGAAATAACTTTCTTGACTTCACTTAATTGACTTTCTTTCATATGAAAAGCCTGTTTTACACTCATTTTTCATCATTTTCTTGTACTGAAAATAAATTGAAAAGGGATGTTTGTTACTGCATGGTTTTGGTTTGGTATCAAAACTGAGTGAAGAAGATTAATATTTTAGTCATTTCATTTTCTGCACGTAATTAATTCTAGTCACACTAATCACTTCACATTACAATTGAACTCATTAGAATGCTCTCAAAACTGCAGGAAAAATAAATCACTCCTCACAAGCAGAAAACGAGGACAAATACTGGAAAGTGACACCAGGAGTGTGATAGTCAAACGGGATGGAATCTGTACTGAAAAATGAGACAAGAGTCGTTTTTCTGTACAAATTGCATTGTCTGATCTGTCTTTTTGTCTGTACCAATGAAAAAAATGATTGTATAAAATGGGCTTAAGTTATTCTTAATGTTAAGTACTATTTATTCTGTAATAAATCCCATGTTCTATTAGGTATGAAAATAAATGTCTTATAAATGCCTGTTAACATTAAGCCGGTTATTGTATCTTAAGAAAACATTGTGAAGTTATTAATGGTTTTGTGTTGCAAACTCTGTAATACTGACTTCACCTTTTTAAATTTTTTCTTTGTATTTGTAAAATCTGTCCAACATATTTTCTGTCATGGGTAAAGTTAAGTATATAGGTGTTTTGCACTAGGTATTTGTCTTTTCAATTGAGTTCAATTAAATGTTTGTTGAAATGCACGCCTCTTGTTCACCACAGTGGGACATCAAGTCAGTGGCAGTCACTGAACTCAGGGCGGGTGGCTTGCTGTTTCAACAGTTCAGGCTATGCATCTTCGAGTACTGCAAGCAGCAGTAGCAGTGGAGGTAGTGGAAACTCAGGAGCATCACAGTCTCAGAAGAAGCGTCTTCTCGCCAAAGCACAGTCTGAGTGTATGCTGGGAGTGGCCACAAAACGGGAACCTGGAGTGCCTGATTACCATGGCCACCACGGAGATTATCTTCACTGTGCTGCTGCATCTGCTGCAAACGGAGTAGTAGCTACAACAGGCTATCATTATGCCTCAACTTCGTCAAATGGACAAGAGCAGCATGCAACGTCCTACAGCAATGGCTGTGGTGGGAGTGGAGACAAGCGCAGTTCATGGGCTCCCCCAGCTGCTCATAGTGGCCGAGACATCCTGGCTCCTCCCTCAGCTCACAAGCGAGAGCCTGGAACTCGAGATCACCTTGGGAGTCATCGTGAATATCATATACCTCAGCAATGTAAGTAACGTTTTTTAAAGTAGAAATAAATTTTGTGAATTTTTCTTCATTAAACTTAACAGACATTGATATGTCCACTATCAAAGTAGCACAATTATCAGAAGGCATCTAGTATCACAAGGTAAAAGATGTAATAATCGCATTATCACAAGGTATATTAATTACAATTATTGATGATATGTAAGTGGTAGATACTAAGGTCTAATACATCAATATCAAAAGTTTTAACTTAATTGCACATTTTTCTGATTGGTTTGTTAGATTGCTTCTATAGTTTCATGAAAAAAATTCTAACAATACATCTGTCTAAATAGTAATAATAAACAGAACACTTATTGATAAAAAAGGTACTGAATAATAATTACGCCAATAACAATTAGGCTATAAATACAATGTTCTTCTACTATAATTTTTTAAAAAATGTTCTTGCAGATATCTCTATCTCCTTTCAGCTTCTGTTTCCAGCTTTCTCTTGTGAGGAATACTTTAATTTTATGTAGGTTGTCTTACTGGAACCACTTTCTAGACTCAACTCTCATCAAACATCAAGAAGTAATTCGAACTTAAAGCTCCATTTCTGAAAAAGCTTCAGAATGTGATTGTTTTCTAAAACAGAAATTAATTTCCTCACAAGAGAAGAGACTGGAAATCTCAATTCTAAGTATGATTCCATGCAGGAAGATCAACAGTAATTTTCACTGTTCTTCTGTTTCCTAATGCATTTTGGTTCTACATTTATTGAAGTGGTTATCATACCTTACAAAAACAATATGTTGTAGTCAGACGTAACTGAAAGACTTGAGGTTTAATTACTTAAATGCTGTCATTAAGTGAAGTAAATTGAAAAGAAAAAAGATAATTACAATCAATGCGAATAATAAAAAAGCATAATGTTTTAAGACCGTGGTCAGCAAAACTACACTCTGGAGCGCATGGGGACAACACATGTTACCTTTTGTCTACTTAGCAGATATTGAAAGTGACAGTGTGCACAACATGGCATGAAAATAAAATTCATAAACAATATAATAGGTTTAGTGATTTTAAAAATTCTGTTAAATTGGGTTTTCTAAATCTTCCCAAAGATTATATTTAGTACAGAAACATTTGATGCTGTTGTTACAAGTGGCATGTTTTGGCCTGATGCTAGAAAAAGTATAAAATTTGATCTAAAATAAATGTGATATCTCTGAATAATTATTCTAAGTCACATTCATTGCAAAATAATAATAATAAGTTTTTACACTACTTGTCTCTAATTTCTTAAATGACTATCGGAGAACATAATCTTATTATTCACAATTAAATTGAAACAAATAATGTATTCTGCATTCATTCAACAGGAAGTAAGTTGTATCTTGTAATATGTAAAATTGATTTTGTTATTATTATATATTATGTTTCTTATTCAGAATATTTACTTGTTGTTTTTTATATTTACAGCTGTTGTCCACAAAGATTACATCCAACCTCCTGCTGCACATACAACAAGGGAACCGATGCCTATGTCTTCTCGGGAGCAGCATTTGCTTGCTGCAGCTCAGGCCAAGAGTTGGAGCTCAGCAGCTGCAGCTGCTGCAGCAGCAGCCGCAGCTGCCACTCATCCAGCTCTTCATCAGGGTTATCGCCACACAAGCACTTCACATCTTTCTCCCCAACCCCCAGGGCACCCTCCTCCTGCCTTGGCTGCATCCACAAGCAGATTGTCTCCTCCTCAGCACCCTTTGTCTGCAGCTGGGCAGCCTCTGTACCATCAGCCAGAATTGTATCGCCGCCCTCCTGCAGTTTATGTGACTACTACTCAGCCTGCTTATCTGCCAGCCAGCCATCAGGTTGCTCCTTTTACGGCAGGGTGAGTTAATAAAGGCTAGCATACATTTGTGTGTGTGTGTGTGTTTTTTGTTGTTGTTGTTGTTGTTGTTGTTGTTGTGAAAAATGAATGAAGCTCAAAAATAAAGCCCTGAGTTTCATGTATTCTTATGGTACAGGTGGGAATCAAGAGAGGTTTCAGCTCTGTACTGACACCATTAGAAATCTGATCATTTTATCACTAGCTTTCCAATTAATAATTATTTTAGTTCATCTATGGTATTTAATATAGAGATGGTATTATAATTGTTAGAAAATTCATTTTGAAGAGTTTTGAGAGTCCCTGATCCTTTGTGTAATATTTGTGGATGTATCCTTTCAGATATGACAGTCTCAAATCAATTTGAATTGTGTAAACAATTTTGGCACTCATCAAATATCGTAATTTTTTTAAAGATAGTATTCCATTATCAATCTTTCGAAGTATGCAAATTATTTCTGTAAAGGTTTTGTTTATTTTTATTCTTTTTAAGGAAAATCTTGTCTTCACTCTACAACATTCACAAAGTTTTCTCAAAAATTCTACTTACTTTTTTCATCAAATTTGTTTTGCAATTGAACCAGATGACCATTGCGCATGTTCTACTTTCACTGCAAACTCTGAATTTTCAGAAATTATCAATGTGTAATTGATTTTCGGTTGCTTGTTTGTCATCAGTGGGAGGCAGATTTTAATGACCTAAAACATTGCAAAAAAATTATCAATAAAATGTTCTTAAAATGTCTTAAAAACAAAACAAAAAATTACATTCAAAAATTTATCAAAACTGCTTCAGATGAACAACTGAAGCTGTTAGAGATGTTACTGATGTAATTGAATCTTCTTCCTTTTGTTCATGTGAAATCAGCTCGCAAACTATTGGTGTGTTCTTTAAAAGAAAATGTCTGCCTTAATCACAAAATCAGCCGAACTGACAATGGCACTGATAGGTGTCACAGGAACCTTAGATTACATAGTACTCCCAATGGCTAGCATTACAGTATAAAAGCGAAGAAATCGAATAGGCTATTCGGGAATTCTGTTGTGAATGTGTGTTGCACCTCGTAAATATTGTTTGAAGCAAGTACCATTAAAATGATATTAAAATTGATGAAAACTGCGAATAATGCATGAACATTGACATAAGAAGGTAAAAAATAACTTATTAGTCAAAATCGACAAAAAATGCAAAAAAAATTACTTATAAATTGGTACACTTTCTTTTGTTGTAACAAAATGAATTTCTGTTCTAAATGGCAGTGTCCTAGAGTGAAAAAAAGAAAAAAAAAAAGACGTTTAAAATCTGCCCCCTAGTCATCAATAATTAAAACTAGGAATATAGTTTCTGGTTATTGAGTTTAACAAAACAAGGACTTTAAATATGTCGTGAATTATCTTTTGTTTTTCAATAGTTTTGCAAACCTTTAAATGAAAATGGGGATTCTTCCCTAAATTTCCTTTATATCTCAAAGGGAATCATGAAGAGAAGTTCTTTTTATCTTTTCAGCTATAATTATTTCTGAAACAAAAGTTAGCTATTCCATTGTTGACATTTTATTTGTTATTATACTTACATATGCTTGACTTGCTTAGTTATAAAAGGGAATTTTGTGATCAGTACACATGGACTGTGTCCAACTGTTGACTGTGTGTGTATATATAACACTCAAATGCCACTTTTGGTAACTGACAATTTTTTTGAGTAAAACACAACATGGACAGAATAAAATTCCCATGTCACATTGTGGGTATTTCTATTCAGTCAATGTCTGAAATGAAATACCTACAACATGTCATGGTTAAATAAATAAAAAATGTTGTCCAATATAAAAATTATCTAGTATCTAAAGATCTTTTCGATTGCATGGATCGAAAGTATCTGTAGATTAAATATAATTTTTATACTGGACAACATCTTTTATGTATTTAATTCTTAAAAGGTATCTACCTCACAAATGATCTTATTAATATTAAACATTTTGTGGGTTAACACATATGCTCAATTCCTGAACTGAAGATTAATTTTGGTCTTAGTGTCCATATGAAATGAGAATGGCCCATTTAATTAATTTTAAAATGTATGTTAATGTGAAATGGGTTTGAAATTGCCCATTGGACAAGCTCAAAAATGTTTTATGTTTATCGCATAGGTTGGAACCTCGCCATGAACTTTGATGCACAAAGTAAAGTGTTCAGCAAAATAGTATTTTCAATAAAATTGTGATATAAATTACAGGTTAGGCAAACTCAGAAATATTTTATGTTCATTGCTAAGGCTGGAGCCTAGTCTTGAACTTGGTCAAGTATAGTAAAGCATCAACTCTCTTAATAATAACTTCAGGATGTAAGCACTATGCCATTTCTCTCGCAGATGCATTTCAGATCAGGGATTGAGCAATTGTGTTTATCCGAATCATGTCTTTCAGACAGTGAGAAAATAGAAAATTCACTATGTTGGAATGTGTAAACATTTTTGTCCTAGTCCATGTGGGTAAAAACGGTGGACATTGGCCTATTTCAGGATTTAAGTATAAATAATTTGTCTAGTTCACAATTCAAAATAATGATTGAAAATGATTTTATTTCAAATTGTTCACATTAGCAATTACATAAGTTAAATATGGGTTTTATTGCTTAAATGACTAGTTGGTGGGTAATAAATCTGTTTAGTTTAGTTAAAGACTAAATAGCCCCCTGCAAAAATTGTGCACTGAGTAAATCAATATTTTAAAACAGAAAAACTGCTCATTCTGGATCCTAACTTCAAATAGCTAATCCCTGAACTTAGCATTAAATATCCAGTATTGTACATGAACTAACATTGTAATATTGCAAAGCGTAGAGATTGAATTTCACAGAAAATCAGTCGCTTTAATTTTATTGTGGAATATTATTTCGGTCCCTATTCCATCAATTTAAATTTACATAGATTTTGAGTTACTAATTGTATCCGATTGCTCGTGCTTAAGGTGAAGGGGTCACTAGAAGAGCTAAATCTCCAAACGTGTAACAGAAGTTTCAAAATGATCTCATTTTGAAACCTGCTACAGAAACAACTTCAGGTCCTACCTGTTCCCCTGAAATTTCCTCAGTGTTCTGTGTCATTTTCCTACCTGTCCCCCCACCCTGTTTTCCTGTTGTTTTCCCACCCACCCCATCTTCCCAACCTGTCCTCACTAACTTTGCTTGTTCACTTAAACTTGACCCTTCAGGTCCATAAAAATCTTGGTTGAAGGACCTAGGATGTGTCATTTTCAATGACTTTGTAGAAGCTCTTGAATCATTTTCTGTTGTGTTCAGTTTAGAAACAAGTGAGCTTAGCAAAGTTTTAGAAAGAATATAGTTATTTATCTGAATGTACAAAATGTGACTATGACTGCGGGGAAAGAAAATATTTTGGAAAAAAAATGTGAAATAAGGTTTTCATTGTGATGAAAATCTAAGCCCTGTCGAGTTATTTTGCTAGAAGAGGCAAAACAAAGTAGGTAAATTATCTCTTTGTTTCGTATAATAAACTACTTAATAATAATGATACCAGTCAAAAATTCAAAGAATAAATATGGAGTCTTATTTGAGAAACTTTGGAAAATATCCATGAAGTTTCAATACCTTCTTTAAAAAAAAATTAAAAAATCTGTTTCTCTGTGCAAGGTGTAAAATGGCATTTTCTCATATTGATTAAATTGGTTACATAATATTATAATATTGAGGCTTGTATCCTCTAAAAAATTTTCAAATTTTTGAAAATTCAATACTTCTAATGAAAGTACTACTTGTAACATATAATTTAGAGTTTTGTGCTGCATTCTTACAAAAGTTTATTAAATATTTTGAGCTGTTGAGAAAACCCTGTTAGGCATTTTTGGAAAATTGTTACAATTTGACTAGAAATTATATATTAATATTTTTGTCCAAACCACACTAAATAATTTTAAATTATAATGAAGAATTGAAGGTATATGACAGGTTAAAAAAATGTTAGCTTTCAAAATTTCTGAAGTTTTAATGAAAATTCTTCATATTTTCTAGCACAATTTTCTCTGTTGAAGCTGTAAATTTGGAGACCTTTTTGAGAAAATATTTCTTAAATATTTTTTGAAAAAAATGCCATGTTTTTGTGAAAAATTCTAATATATTGTTAAAACTGTACACTAATTAATCTGAATATCTAATATTGAAGAAAAAATGCATTAAGAAAGCAATTTCAAGCTTCAATATTCAAGATGAAGGACAAGTTTTAAAAAAGGATGAACTTAAGCAACTATGGAACTTTGAAGTTGTAAAGTACCCTCCAAAATTCTGATCTCTTATTAATTCTGAAGGTGTAAAGTTTCAAACACATATGGATGAAAAATAAATAACATTTTCCAGAATTAGGTATCCCCCTCCTTCTCTCACTCTCTCCTCTGTCTCTCACTTTCCTCTCTCTCTCCTGTCTCTCACTCCTCTCTCCCCTGTCTCTCACTCCTCTCTCCCCTGTCTCTCACCTCCTCTCTCCCCTGTCTCTCACTCCTCTCTCCCCTGTCTCTCACTCCTCTCTCCCCTGGTCTCTCACTCCTCTCTCCCCTGTCTCTCACTCCTCTCTCCCCTGTCTCTCACTTCCTCTCTCCCCTGGCTCTCACTCCTCTCTTCCCTGGTTCTCCAACTCCTCTCTCCCCCTGTCCTCTCACTCCTCTCTCCCCTGTCTCTCACTCTCTCTTCCCCTGTCTCCAAGCTCCTCTCTCCCTGTCTCTCACTCCCTCTCCCCTGTTCTCACTCTCTCTCCCCTGTCTCTCACTCCTCTCTCCCTTCTCTCACTCCTCTCTCCCCTGTCTCTCACTCCGCTCTCCCCTGATCTCTCACTCCTCTCTCCCCTGTCTCTTCACTCCTCTCTCCCCTGTCTCTCACTCCTCTCTCCCCTGTCTTCTCACTACCTCTCTCCCCTGGCTCTCACTCCCTCTCCCCTGTCTCTCCACTCCTTCTCCCCTGGCTCTCACTCCTCTCTCCCCTGGCTCTCACTCCTCTCCTCCCTGGCTCTCACTCCTCTCTCCCCTGGCCTCTCACTCCTCTTCTCCCCCTGTCTCTCACTCCTCTTCTCCCCTGTCTCTCACTCCTCTCTCCCCTGTTCTCTCACTCCTCTCTCCCCTGGGCCTCACATCCTCTCTCCCCTGGCTCTCACTCCTCTTCTCCCCTGGCCTCACTCCTCTCTCCCTGGCTCTCACTCCTCTCTTCCCCCTGGGCCTCTCACTCCCTCTCTCCCCTGCCTCACTCCTCTCTCCCCTGGCTCTCACTCCTCTCTCCCCTGGCTCTCAATCCTCTCTCCCTGGCCTCTCACTCCTCTCTCCCGGTCTCACTCCTCTTCTCCCCTGGCTCTCATTCGCTCTCTCCCCTGGCTCTCACTCCTCTCTCCCCTGGCCTCTCACTCCTCTCTCCCCTGCTCACACTCCTCTCTCCCCTGCTCTCCACTCCTCTCTCCCCTGGCTCTCACTCCTCTCTCCCCTGGCTCTCACTCCCTCTCTCCCCTGGCTCTCACTCCTCTCTCCCCTGCCGCTCTCACTCCTCTCTCCCCTGGCTCTCACTCCTCGCTCCCTGGGCTCTCACTCCTCTCTCCCTGCGCTCTCACTTCCTCTTCTCCCCTGGCTCTCACTCCTCTCTCCCCTGGCTCTCACTTCCTCTCTCCCCCTGCGCTCTCACTCCTCTCTCCCCGCGCTCTCACTCCTCTCTCCCCTGGCTCTCCGCTCCTCTCTACCCCTGGTCTCTCGCTCCTCTCTCCCCTGTCTCTCGCTCCTTCTCTCCCCTGTCCGCGCTCCTCTTCTCCCCTGTCTCCCCGCTCCTCTCTCCCCTGCTCCCGCTCCCTTCTCTCCCCTTGTCTCCCGCTCCCTCATCCCTTGTCTCTCGCTCGCTCTCTCCCTGTCTCTCGCTCCTCTCTCCCCTGTCTCCGCTCCTCGTTCCCGCTCCTTCGTCTCCCCCCGCTCGTCGGTCTCCCGCTCCTCGTCTCCCCGCTCTCGTCCCCGCTTCCTCGTCTCCCGCTCCTCGTCTCCCGCTCCTCGTCTCCCGCTCCTCGTCTCCCGCTCCCTCTCCCGCTCCTCCGTCTCCCGCTCTCTCTCCCCTGTTCTCGTCGCTTCCTCCTTCTTCCCGCTGTCTCTCGCTCCTCCTCCCCCTGTCTCCCGCTGCCTCCTCTCCCCGTCTCTCGCTCCTCTCCCCCCCGTCTCTCGCTCTCTCTCCCCCGTCTCTCGCTCCTCCTCCCCCGTCTCTCGCTCCTCTCTCCCCCGTCTCTCGCTAAACCTCTCTCCCCCGTCTCGCGCTCCTCTCGTCCCCCGTCTCTCGCTTCCTCTCTCCCCCGTCTCTCGCTTCTCTCGCCCCCGTCTCTCGCTCCTCTCTCTCGTCTCTCTCGTCTGTCCTCTCGCTCCTCTCTCTCTCTCTCTCGTCTGTCTCTCGCTCCTCTCTTCTCTCTCTCTCGTCGTCGCTTCGCTCCTCCTCTCTCTCTCTCTCTCTCGTCTGTCTCTCCTCCTCCCTCTCTCTCTCTCCATTCGTCTGTCTCTCGCTCCTCCCTCTCTCTCTCTCTCTCGTCTGTCTCTTCGCTCCTCCCTCGTCTCTCCTCTCTCTCGCGTCTGTCTCGCCCTCCTCCTCTCTTCTGCTCTCTCTCTGTCCTGCTCCTCTGCTCTCTCTCCTTGCCGCCTCACTCTCTGCCTGTCTCTCGCTCTCTCTATCTATCTATCATCTATCTATTCATATTATAGATATAAATATATATATATATATATATATATATAATATGAGAGAGGGAGGGGGAGGGAGGGTAGAGAGAGACAGAGACACAGTATATGAGTGAATAAAACTTCCTATTTGAAAATTGTGGAAAGTAATAGATAAGATTATTACCTGTATTCTCTTAAAGGTAATTCCAGTGTTTTGAGTGCTAAGTGTGGTTTTAAGGGTACAAACCCTGTCCAGGAGTTGCAACAATGGACACACCTGCTAAAAAAGGCAATAAAGAATTTGTTAAATTTTCTTCAAATATTTTCTTTAAAGTGTGGCAGGTAAAAAATATAACAATGTCAACAATGTAAAACTTTTTACAAGTCTGCTTCAAAACTTCCTTCTCCTAAGAATTAAGAAATCAGCATTTTCTTTATCTGTATGTATTAAATGCACTTTTGGCATATTTTGTTGTAGGGCATAGAGATCCTTAAAATTCCTTTTAAATATCTTAAAAATTACTGAGGTATATTTGATACTAAATGTGTCAGTCTGGTCTCAACATTTAGAGACAGATAATTTTATTGTAGCCAAAGTTATTATTGCACTAAGTGAATATTCATTTTTGCGTATTCACTGCTCATTGTTTTGTGCTCTAAAAATGAGACCTATCTGTGGCTGTGGTCTGTAGCTGGCCGTGGGGTGTGTTCCAGCAGGGCGCTGCCCCCACCAGCCCACCACGCAAGTGCGCGGCCTGTGCTGACCACACACCCTTCACATCCCCTGCCTGCTCACATGCAGCCTGCTGCTGTATTCCCTGCTCACCCACAAGTGGCTGCAAGTTATGGTTTTGCCCCGTTAAGTCCAGCCAAATCACATCAGTATCAACCTAGTTTATGGTTTACTGAATAATAGCTGCTGCATAACAGGTGAGTTAGCTGTTACTTTAACTTGTCTGCTTAATCCAACATGCTTGTTAAATAATGATTAAGCTGTGGATATTTGCCTATTTTTTTCCCTTCATTGGAAGGCACAATCTTTTGTGTTACTTATTCATTTTGAGGCATTAGGAGCTTTATAAGACTTATTTCCACCTTTTAGTCTGTTATGATTTATTAGTTATAATTTTGTGATGGTTAGGGTCCATTTTTTTTGACAAATAAATTAATGTTGCAAGAATTTGTCTGTCAAAAAATATGGTCCCTCACTCTTCACAAAGAGCATTATATGAGTATTTTAATAGTGCCTTTAAATGCCTATTTTGTGTTTAAATGCATAAATGTTGCATATTCTTGTATCAAAATGCAATTATTCTTATTTTAAAAAAAATTAAAAAATTGTATTTTCATTTTTATTCTGCAGAGTACAGAGAAATTGAACAACTTTCAATAAATTTGTGTTCCATTTTACTGCCACTACAGCGCAGGTATTAAGTGTTATGAAAAAGTGCAAAATCTCTGGTGGTGGTGAAGTTACTTTTTACTTCTAAAATAGCTCCAAAGAGGTTTTTCTTAAATTGTCTCCTCATATGTATCAAAGGGTTTTAGATATATATATATATAGATATATATATATATATATATATATATATATATATATATATATATATATAATATTCCATTTTTTTGCAAACACACTGTATTTTTGACACTTGCAAAAAATTAACATTGCAAAAGTACAATATTGAATGCTGTGATTTTGTTTTAAATAAAATCTGTTCTGAAAATCAGATTTAAAAAAGGTGATGTATAATTTTTAAAAGTATTTTGTTGTATAATTTCTAATTGAAATTCAAATTACAAAGATAATTCTCTAAAACTGCTACAATTTTCTTAATTTTTTTCTATAAATAGGACATAGGATGCTTAAAAGAGCAGATCTCGGGTTCGATGAACATGCTGAATTTTTGAAAATTGCAAATGTTTATTTTTTGAAGAAATAATGCAAGAAAGCATGTGCTGTTGTAGCTCGATTAGTTAAATTTGTGTTACGCATGGCGACGGAAAAAATCGTAGAATGTTTTCAATTATGTTTAAATTAGAGGTGAGTAAAAAGATCATAAGAGTAGCATTTACGTATCGGCTTGCATTTAATGAAAAGCTAAAAGGTAGCTACTGCAATCCAGCATTTTTTTGTCTGAATTTATCTGACAATCATAGTTAGGATTTCTACGAGGATTGGTCAGAATAGTGATGAAAGCAAACATTCCATGAATGTAACTATACATATCGTGTTACCTTCAGAAACTTTCTAAACAAGTACATAAGTAGGGATAAGAAAAATTTATATTACCAATTTAAAGCCAATTTTTCCTGCCTATTTCTACAGTTTTTGGTGCCTATAAATCCGAAGCTTAATAATGATCATGACCTGGAGATTATGTGAAATGATTTTCATTCCTGAATGGAAAAGTTAATTAGCAAGGGAAGAGCAGGGTGGGGTGGAGGTTTGTGTTCGTAAGTGCTTGTGCCTATATGCACAGGGTAGGTAGATCATATTTTATTCCATTTTGTTTTTTAACAAGTGGGTTGGGGGGTGTGGACCAGTGAGTGTGTGTGGTGGCATGCTAGGGGCACGTGTGAGCATTTAAAAATAAAAAAAAAATGTTGTTGTTCTCTAATAACTGTGAAATCTAGAACTAGAAGTGTTAAAGTGTATTGTTGCTTTTTATACATTCATTGATTAGAGAAGACAAATGTAGTGACTTTTTATGAAACCTGTTTAGTTTTCAATGAAATTCTCTTTCCAGATAAACCTTGTTCAAGCAGAATCCAATGACCTCTGAGAGCCGAGTTTTCATATTGAAATCTTGGTGTTAAGAACTGAAATGAACGTGTTAACTGCAAATGTTCTGTGGATTTAGAAGTTTCTGTGAATGGAGTTCATTGAATTCAAGCGCAGGGGAAGAATGTAGAAGAGAAAGAAAGAAAGAAAGAAGCTCTCCAGTGGATGACTAGGATGATACACAATAAATCACCACTCTGCTGGTCATCACTGAAAAATAATGATTAAAATAGAGCTTTTAAAATGGGTTGATTATATGTATATGTGTGTATATTAGTTTTTGTTTTCTGTTGACAATAACCCAGCCAGGGTAGAATCTGAGCTGCCCTAATTGATTGCATGCATTAATAATTGTGACCACGCATTCAATTTCGTGTGGTAATTTGATATCCTATATTTTTGCTGTAAATATTTTGTGATTCATACATAACTGTTTTCTGCATGTGAGGAAAATCTTTGTTTTATTCACTGTTAAATATTTATTGTTGATTATCTTGTTGATGGGCAAAATGAATGTACAGTGTTGTACATTTTGATGTTTTGCTATTCTTTCAATATTTGCTGTATATTTGATTTCAAATCAGAATTGTTGTTTTAATGTGAGAGTGGGGAAGCAAGCACTTGAAATACTCATTTGTAACTTGTTTCTTTGGCATGCTCATTCCTCTTCATGTGACCCACCAATGTTCAAGAAGCTACCTTATTTTTTATGCTTCTTGGTATAAATGTGTATGTACACACCTTAAATGTGTAGAAAATTAATTGTAAATATGGGAATGAAGAATTTGCTGGATAAGAAATTTTATCAATTTGACTTATCTGACTGTTAGAAATATTTGTATATAGTAGCACTAACACTAATGCCTTGATTTTTTATCACATTTCTCAATATTTATATTTTATCTAATGACCTTCGTTTCTTTATCAGCATACATTTTTATCCCCACTTGATCTTGTGAGGATGTGATGAGCTTCAGAAAAGTGGGTGAGGCTGTAGATTTCATGTAGATATATAACTTGTTTTTAAAAACAATGATAATCCCACATCAATGTGCCTGTTTGAATTATATCAATTACTTGTCATGTCATGTGGCATATGTGTACACTATTAAAGATATATATATGTATATAGCCTCGTACATATATATATATATACAAAAGTATATTTGTCCTAACATGATAGTCAGAAAGTTCTTTATGTTAATATAATTTGTTAAAATATGTAAAAATTGTGAAACCATTTTGGGGAGATGAAAACCTGCCTTTGATAAAGCTCTTTTATTTCTCAGTGCCCCTGAAAATGGTATGTCAAATTAAGTCATCCTAATAAATCAAGTGACACTGAGGTCCATTTAAAGACTGTAACGTTCCAATGAACTGTAGTGACATGTGCGAAAGTTGCATGCCAGTATTGCTTTAATTCATTCATTGTAGGCAGACATTCAGCATCCCCAAAAATGATTGCCAGGACAGTTAAATGTATTGAAATATTTCTCCTATACATGTTTGCAAGTGATTTTTGGTGTAGATATGTAAATGTGGGTGAATGTTTGAATAAATGAATGATGATTGTTTTCTGATGTGAGGCTGTGTTTGGGATGCCCTGGGCATCTGTATTATGTATTTATCATGGTGTCAAAGTGAGACAACTCTGTTTACAAATGGATGTTGCTTGTGCAAGCAGGAGAAGGCCTGCAGGAACTCCAGAACTTGGCAGAGAGCTTCTTGCGTACCCCTGGTTGGTTGTGCATCTCCAGGGGAGCCTGTTGCTTGTGTGTTCAGTGTTAGCCTTCTCTCATTAATGCAATAGCTCTCTGCCCAGTGCTGCTCCTGGCTCAGAGCTGCCAATACAGCCCCCCACCTGAGATGGTCTCAGTGAGATACTGGATTGTAGGACATTGTTTGTTTTTTTTTCCCTAATATGGATATTGGCACTGCATCTGATTAAAATACATTTTTGTGGTGTATATGTTATTATTATTATTAATATTATTGTACAAGGGAAACCTAGGCATTAATGTACACGGTGTATATTTAATTAGCATGTAGGGCTAGTGTTCTTGTAATTATCGCATAAGCATCATGTCGGCTTTGCTTTACAGATGAAATTTAAGTGGTGCAGTATTAAAATTCATATTACATTTTAACTAATATAATGTCTTGATTCACTGAAAGTACAAACTAAAAAAATTCACATTTGTGTTGACTAATTGTTGAAGACCTTCTGCACAGCACATAAAGCATGTGAAGCATAAATTAGATAGTATCAGAGTTCACTAAATTGGCAAGATTTGTGTTCTTGTTCATGCGGTTGAACTAGCCTTGGTGTCTAGAGTCCGTGTCCATTTCTCACTGTTGCGCTGAGCATGACCTCTTGTAGCTAAGCAGGGTTGCGGGGGGTTAGAATTTGTGATATGTCCTATATACACTACATCGTGTAGCAAGTACTCTTAGCAAAATAGTAGTACCTACATCTTTTCTTTTATTGAGTCAAGTGTAAATAGTGTATTTTAGCATTTTAATCTTAGTAAGTTGTAACTTTCATCGGGCTGTTTTTAGCACTAGAAGTTTTTGATGGTCATTTTGGGAGGGGGGATCTAGTGTGGGTATTTAAGTATTTTAATGTATTTTAAATTTTAGGGAAGAATGTGGGTAATACTACAATCTTAAAAGTGATTTGCCTAATGGTGTAACAATCCTAATGTATAATATTGCCATATGGACACTCAGTGATAAAACCACATGTACAGTAGGAATTAGTAATTACATTAATCCATTAAAAGATTCACAATATTTTTGGAATTAAAAAAGATATCTTGTAGTCTGAGGGGAAACATGTCAGATTTCCCAATATGTAAGTGGTGTATTTAGACACTTGATGTTGATTGGTAGGAAGCATGTTTGCAATTTTTCTGCTGTGCGATGAAGTTATTCCATACAAGGTTCCTGAATGAATTTTCTTCTTTTTTAATCTGGTGTAAATCACAGTAGCCTTACAGTGAATTGTTCAATAAGTGGGGCATAGAACAATCTTACATGTCAAGTATTTGTTCTTGATATAACTCTTTCACTGCGTGACTAGATGATGTCATTTAGTGGACACATTGCCTTGCAGAAATCAGGGTCACTACCTTCCACAGTGAAAGAGTTGAAATATTATTATAATGATTAATGTTTGTCTTAATATGTATTGGTTAATGTGGTTTATTTTGTTTTGAAATATCATTGCTTGTAGCTATTAAAATAATGTCATGAATAAAATGTATAGTACATATAAGATACAAACTAATTGAATGGAATTTTACTTATAACTATGCACGCTTATTCTTTGTGTGAAAAAAAAGTTGACTTACGATTTGTGGTTGTGTGGGTCCATTCCTTGGAGGGTTTGTGGGTTGGGCAAGCAGCCCTAGCTGGTGATACTTGGGGTTGCCTCTATACGCTCAAATCTTGCCAGCATATTCGGGCTAGAAGAGTTAAAAATGTAACGCCTTATATTTGTTGAACTATGTCCATTGCATGGATCGTTTTTACTGCGTCGTCAGGATTGGTTTCTCATCTTCCTTGCGTAGGTTGCTACCAAAGATATTCTCCTACATGTTCCTTGCGTATATGTAATTATTTTTTTAAATTGTATCTATGGTGTTGAGTTGTAATTCAAAAAGCTACATTATAACATGCAGGGAAAAATATGGTTCTGACTTGGCTCACGGGAACTGTAATTTTCCCATATCTCAACCTACGAATTAGATTGACTGTTACCATTAAAAGATTTTTCAATTCAGTCTTCTACTGGGTAGAATTTGTTATATCTTTGTGGTTCTTATGTTTGAAATATTTGTTATGATAGCAATTGTAATTTAAAATTTTTTATTCCTTTTAAAAAAAAAATTATCGGTATTAATTCAGTATGATTGTAAATTCTAAAATGAGGTACGTGTCTTAATTACTTTCGGAAATTGTATGACTCATTCTGGTCATGTGGGAACATAAGATATGTTCACTTGTGCACAGAAACCAAAGTGTGCTTGAAGGATGACTTTTTCTCTTACTATTGTTTGACTTAACACTAGTATTCTTAATTATTCATGCTATAAAGAATTCTACTTCATGTGTAACTAAAGTTCATTTTATTTTCTGTGAAAAATAAAAGTTAATTTCATGGATTGAAGTACGAGTCAGATGTAAAATACTTCCATTTCTTTTCCTTACAAATTTTATTATGTGGAAATCATATTTTAGTTTGGCCTTTTTGTTATATATTTGGAATTCTATTCTTAGAATTGCCTTTGGTGCTTTGTTGACATCTTACCACTGTCATAAAAAGGTACTAAATTCAAGATTATATACGTACATGTTCTCTTGCGATAATTATGCAATAGCATTGGTTGAGTGGAAAATTTAATTCATCATAATTATTTTAATGTAACCATGCTGTATTTGATGTATGCATATATGCTCTCTAGCTTGGGCAGCAGTCTGAGCAACAATCTCTCCATATCATTACAGATACCCTTAATACAGGTAATTATTGTCATTGTTGGGTAGAGGTAATGTAGTTGTCAATTCAACACCAATGTCACTTTCTTAAGAATAAGTAGATATATGTATAATGAGTCAGAAAGTGTAGTTTTGTAATTAAAGCTGTTTTAAGGGTTTCTGTGGTTCTTTTTTTATTTCTTTCTAATCTTAATGCGTGTTGTGTTGATGCATTCAGGACTAGCATGGAGAATTGTCAGTTGCTGGCAATAGACTTTCTGTAGTTATTTGTTTTAGAAGATGTTTTCTCTAGAAATATCAAATTACAATTTGTCAGTTGGTATTCTGTATTTAATTTACTACCTGTTAAAAGGATTGTAGGAATTTCCAGTACAGTTCGTTAGACACGATATATATTTAACATTATTATAAACAAAAAAGTTGCTTAATGTTTTCTGTACATTGTAATCTAGCTGTTTTTTCTTCTTGGTGTTCTTATACAATATGGATGTTTCTCTTACTATTTACTAGATTCATCCTGGCAGTACTCTTGCAAAAACTGGATGTAATTCTTTGTCACTTATGGATGATATAGATTTTTATTTGCTTGTGTGCATTTTGAATTATATAATAGTGTATTTTAAACCAATGATTACAACTAATGATCTTAACAAAACTTATTATAAGGCCAATGATCATTTTAATGGTAAGGTATACTAGTTTACTTGGAGTATTACCTCGTGATTTTATATATACACGTACATATAGCCCAAAGATGGGCAGTTGTTAGTAACTTCGCTTTTCTTTGTGGGATGGGATGTCATACAAATTAACTCTTTCACTGTGGAACAGATACCCTTTGCACCACTCATTGCATATTCTTTCCATATCAGAATATTGGCTTGGTCAGAGATGCTGGTTATCAGTAATCTTAATCTTTGCAGCGAAAGAGTTAAAATATTTGCTTTTCCCCACAGCAGACTCCATTGTAATTATTTGGGTTTTCACAAGATTTTGTGTTAATGTTTTTTTATTTTTTGTTGTGACTATTATATTACAAGGTTAGGTTTTTGTGAGTATTATTTGTTGTAGAACTGTTTTCAGTTACCAATATTTTTGTAGTAGTGTTCCTGTGTGTATGTATATAAACGGACATGTGAAACACGTATGATGCCTTCTTTTAGCTCTTCACTTAGGCTCTCATTCAAATGAGAGAAAACAATCTATCAGGAGGAATTTGTCATTAGGTGACTTAAGTCTGAATTCTATTTGTAATCTGATGTTCACATCCACATTTGCCTAGTGCCCACAGTCCTCTTTGGACATTTTTACATTTGCTGTGGCTTATGTATGATTTGGAATGGTGTTATTGTATCGTGTGTAGTGTGCTGTCAGTAACCTGACTGGGTTGGTGTCTTTGTGTTGGATCTTGCACTGAAATTTGTATTAGTAACTGAATTTATTACACACTGTAAGGGCATTTAGTTCGTTACTATTACATTTTTCAGTTTCATTATCGTGTTATCAATGGGTTTTCTTATAAATGGCAAGGTTACTAGTAGTAAAAAAGAAGACCACCTTTGTGACATTTTGCTATCAACAAACAGTGTTTTTGTGCAGTAATGCAAAACATTTTAATTCTGTGTAATTACAGTTCTTTCTACTGCAAGACATTATTTTACTTCTGTGTAATTCCATTTTTTTGTTAAGGATTTTTAATCTGTTATATTTTCTTGCTATTAGAATGCGAGAGTCTTATACAGTTCTTCAAAAATAATTAGTTGCATTGCTCAATGGATTAAGTATGTCAATCCACAGTATCATTGAAGATTTTTATAGGAGTGTTGCGGTGTCTTGCAACTTTTGGTTCAAAATTTCTTCCAATAGAGAATGAATTAAAATTTCGCAAATATTAAGAGAGGCTAAAACACAGTCAGTTGATAGCATTATTTAACATTATTCCAATTACAATAATCATCAGTGGGGGATATATAAATATATATATATATAAAGGAATGTTTTTCTGTGCCAATCTTAGGGTGTAAGTATCTAGTTTTCTACTGGCGTAACCATGTTTAGTGGACAATCTGCCAATAATGTCTCTGTCACATTAGAAGCATAAAGGAAAAAAAGTGTCAGAAGTATAAATGGAATGGTCACCTTTATTATTTAACAAATCTTATTAGAATCTTAATGTTAATATAGCGTATAAAACATATCAATTTTTAAAGAGGGATGCAAAAGTCCTTGTGAATGCTACATTGTTTTAGCTTCCAGGAGGGTTGGAACTCAGTCTCAATGCATTAATAGTAGTCATCAAAACTCAGTATTTTGTTTCATTATGCACTTTGTTGATTAATTTGAACAGTTCAGTTAATGTTAGCAGTGCTCAGCAACTTATTTTGTGTCCAAATGGTTTGTTGGGACTGTGCTACATTCTGGATAGGTTTTATGTTACAGTACAATTTGACTGGTACATCATTCCATATAGTAGCTTTGTAGTTAATAATTTGTAGTTTGTTAAATTGGCCTTTCTTGTTAGATGGTATGTGTTTAATTTTATACTAATTAATTTTGTATACCACTTAACATTATAAACTGTTCATGGACCAGATCTGAGAAGGAATTTGATTAATTAGTTTATTTAAAATGGAGTTAAGTCATAGCAACCATGTGATTTTTGGTTTGTTTTTTGTTGAATGCCTTATGTGAACTGGTTGCAGAAATGTAAAGAGTATTGTTGCTTTTAAAAATTAGAGAGTTTGTACTGCTTTCATTGAAACCTGGTAATTCATATTAGATGGACCAATCTGCTTTAACATTAAATTATAAAGAAGTGGTGATTACTTGGGGTACTGTCATACATATAACTTGTAACAGTGAAAGAACAAAATGCTTATGGAAATGTGTAATTAAAATAAGGGCTTGCGTATGTTTTACAGATATTTTATGGTATCTAGGTCCTGTTGTATTATTAAATGTTGCCTTTGTCATGAAGTGGTAATGGTGAAAAGAAAAACAGGTGAAATGTAAAAAAATAACATTTTTAGAGCGAAACGAAAAGGAGAATTAAGAGAATGCTTGCTTTGTATCCGTCTCCTAGTCAGTAGAAAAAGGGGAAAGGTTGTACATTTGGCATAATTAAATCGACGTAGCAGGAAAAAAAGTTGTATTTTTTATTACCTATAACTTTTCCCGCTAATCCTGCCCCAAATCTCATGACATTAAGTACAAGAGTACTTATTTGGTAATGGGAAAACACGAACACTTGTCAATACGAAGTATTTTCGCATTGTTTAAATACGTGCCAATTAGTTGATACTTCAAAGTAATTAAGGACGCATTGATACAAAATTGTAATTCAATAACAAATGAAAAAAATTTAATATGCAACTTTAGAGAAAAATAATTGTTATAATTTAACAATTAGGCACAACTCGTCCCTAGCAATGAAAACTGCTTGGGTCCACGTAAGGTAAAGAGCAGAATGAACAGCGAAGCGTTCAGAGCCCTAGACGCCATTCTTTTCTTTATGTTCATGTAATGGCCGCCATTAGCGTTGGCACCAACACCTAAAGACTCGAGCAGGCAACAACCAAGAGATATTTCTAATCGCTATACATGTAGAAGTGGTTTTAGAATGTGCAAAAACTGTCTGCAATTTGGATACGATTAGCCAACAGGGCATCGACCACCTTGGCGGGTCGCTAGCTCGCCAGGGAGTGGTAGTTGGGTAGTCGACAGCACCAATACACGGCTTGGCCTAGTGTTGTGTGGCTGGTGATTCGCCGAGCATTGGTGTACAATTTGCCGACCAATCATTGGGAAAGTGCTGTCGAAAATATCCAATGTAAGTCCACAAATTATCTAAGAACTTCTGTGATCATGTGTTCGGCAGTGGCCGGCAAAATTTGATTGTTTTTGTAAAACTAACGGTAGATTTCATAGTATTACTCCCGTCGGACCCAGAAATACAATAATGGAAGCCATGTTTGTTACAAGTCTTTCGAAGCAATGCTTTTCTTCGAAAAGTTACTTGCTTTGCCACGATGCGTGCTGGGTTACCTGCTTACTAATTTCGTCGTCTTTAAGATATCTACTGTATATGAGTATCAATCCAATGGTCGGGTTGCGTTGCACAAGTGAAACAGTAATTTCCTACTTTCGGGTTCCTTTATGTCTTGCGGTCCTTGTCTGGCCTACAAAGCGCGCATTTGGAATGCTAGTCAGAACCATGGGTTTAATGCTCCATCTCTATTTCATCATGCTTTTAAGTTGATATAAGTTCTCTCGGGTACAGATAGTTGAAATGTTTTTATTTACTTCATATCACAAATAAGTGATAAACGTTCGATTTGACACCACTTGCATCTTTAGTGATTATAATATCTAATCGAATGATTTGTATTTACAGCTGGGGAAACTGGCTTTCTTTGTTTTAAACCGGGCTCCTGCAAATAATAGTAAATAATGGAACAACAATTAACTAGTGATGGACAGGTGACTGTGATGCAAGCTGTACCAACTGGTACAGGAGGTCAACAAGTGCAGGTATGTGATTTGTACGTGAAAGAATAGTGTGTAGGAAATCACAATTTTTAGTTTCCTTAGGTATAGTATCTTAATTTGTTATAATAAATAGCGAGTTTGCATCTAATTATTTGTGAGAATGTTGGTCACCTATCCAACAGTTGTAGATGAGTACTAGAAAAATAGTGGAAGTTTTTTAGTTGCTAAATACTTTTTTTTAATGCTCGAAAGGTTGTGCAAGTAAACCAAGCGGGTCAGGTGATTCAAGGTGCAAATGGACAACAAATTATGGTACATGCAGTACCCCAAGGTGCTCAGACAATTCAGGTAGCGGCTCAAGGTGGTCAAGCTCTGCAGCAAATACAAGTTGTACCTGTATCGAGTTTGCAGGTACTCATTTTATTTTTTCCAGTCTTGCTTTGGAGCCTGTAAAATTCAGGAGTTACTTGCATTTTAAATTGTTTCTGAAGTTGAAAATGTTTATAGATATGTAATATGATTAACAGGTTACAGAATTAAATTGATAATTGTTATATATGTTTGCAGGGCAGTGGAGCTCCTCAACAAATAGTGATACAACAGCCCCAGCAAGCACAAATAATTCAGACATCAGATGGACAAACTTTCATATATCAGCCAATGCAATTAGATGGAGCTGTACAACAGGCTCAACCTACTGGTAAGATCTTTTATATAAGTTATTTCAGTTGGATTTTTATTTCATTTTTTTGAAACTCCTCGACATTAAAAGTGGCTAAATTGTAATATGATTAATATAATGTTGGTAGAATGTTACAAATTTTTCTTGACTTTCTCTGTGTGTTTCTTAAAATGAAAGGTTGATGAACTGTGAACAGAACTGCCTATTATTATGTGGCCATTTATTTCATGTTAATTATGGTTATGTTTATCGACAGTAACTTATTTTAAAAATGGTGAGTCGCAAAAGTCATCCAATATTTGAACCATATTCAGTTGTGAAGTTTTGTGCAATTGCATGTTAACTCAATCTTGACAAGCACAGTTTCTCAAGACAACATGTTTCTTCATAATGATCGCCAATAATGTGTGTGTTTCATTCATCATCATGTTTTCAAACTATTTGAATATAGTTTTTTAGAACCTATCTTTCATGCTCCTTGAGAATTAATGAATTTTAGATTGTAAGTACAAAAGCATCAGACATAAAAGAATGCACTAGGCATAACAATGTTTCAGTTGTTTTATCAGCTTTAACTGAGATAAATAATATGGTATTTATTTCATGAATAGTGCATATAGTCAAATTTATAAAATTGCATTTATTACATTGTTCTGAACAGTCTTTGAAATTCTTTTAAAGAACTTTTTCCTCAGCCAGGAGAACAACTCAATTTCTAGGCCACCAAAAGTGGGACAGAAGTAGGTTATTTGCTGCCGTGGGGAGTTTTCATTATAAGCATACGAAAATGAGATAAATATGATAATCTTGAAATATTATCAAAAAATACAAATGAATACATATTAATTACTAATATTGAGTTACATTAACACTCCTACGATTTGTAAATACTAATGTTCGGAATATTTTTACACTCTGTTGTCTAATTAGTAACTTCTATTGAACATCTTCGTGTCTTTGGCACCAACCTTCGAACTGAACATTAACAACGTGATATAGTTTCTTAAAAATATTATTATACACATTCACCAAAAACAAAAGGACACTCCAAAAAAGACAGTAACTAAGCAGCAACATCATAATTACTCTCACCAAGAGGTCAGCATGTGTGGACTGAGTAGAGAAAAATCACGTATTTACATTTTAAATTCGTGAAATGCTTATGGCTGGGGGGGGATAGTATAGTAACTTGAGAGAAGGCCATTTTTCCCTAGGTCTAAAGCCCATGGGCTTCAAAACTGCACCTCTGGGAAAATCAGGCACTTGTCTCTGTATTTTGCATTTTGTAAAAGTTTTTTTTTTTTAATGTTATTCATTCAAAACGCCTGGTTAATTCACTCTTCCTTCACTGCAAAATGTCATTGCATCAATTATATGATTAAATTTGTATTACCATATTTACCCGAATATAAGATGACCCCCTAATTTTGAAGACTCCTGAGAATTTTTAAACATTTTTAGCCCATTCTTACTATTCAGTGAAAATAAAATACCAAATTCTAATTGACTAGAAAATTGTCTTGTTGATGAGAATATTAAGACATTGCTGAATTATCATTTTCTTGTTCCTTAAAATTATCATAATCATATAGGCTCTCCTGAAAGTTTTTCTTGCTGAATTTGCATTGTTCCAAGTCTTTCATCAAACGCCACCTGCGAACATTCCCTTCTGGGTAACCAAATTTTCTGTCAGTTTCGCACTTGATGGCCTCTGTTTCTTTAACAGTTTAGAATGCAGATTCATATTCACTGGGCCTCAAACCAAGATTCCACATGGCCTTGTTGAACGCACACTGAAACAAAATCTCGGAATTCATTTTCACATTGGATCACATTGGATACAATGCCATTTGTTTCAGATTCTCTCTGTACCGGCCCATTAAAAAAATGTCGGAATTGCCTGACTGATTTGCTGTGGATGCCGAGACTATGACACAAATTTCATATTGTAGATTCACATTTTTATTTTCTTCGTTTTTTTACATCAGCATTTACACGAGTTTTGTGATATGTAAAACCTTAAACCCTGACCGACTAGGCTTAATCTGCGAATATAGGATGACACCTTGTTTTTCGCCTGAGATATTTAGAAAGAAAGAAAAACTCTTTAATATATTCGGGCAAATACTTATTTGTGTCTACAAATACGTTGGGTTTGTGAATGGAAATTCTATATGGGTCCGTCTGATTGTTGAATAATACTAATTTTTCCCAAGGTCTTCAAATAATAACATAGTAGTGATAGCAACATAACAAGATAACATAAATAATAACATAACATGATAGTTGTAAATAATGATGTGAGAAAGATTGCAAAAAATTACATTTGTGTAATTTGTGCACATATATATATATATAATAATATGATATCTATATATATATATATATATATATATAAACTTAATGGAATATCTAATTAGAATGACGAAATTTCATTTTTAGGAGAGATTTATCTTCAATTTTATAGTTGTAGTAAAACAAATTTCAAACTTTCGCAATTCTCAAAAATTGAAAGAAACAGTTGAAATCAGATATGTGCCACCATTAGTGTACTTCACTCTATTCCTTCAAGAAATTTAAAGAAATAATTTGGACCCATTTTTGAGAAAATTTTGAAAATGCCATGGGGGCTTCATGTAAAGTACCCCCAACTATTTAGGAATTTACAGAAAATCACTGAACTTTGAGTGAGGCCAGATCTATTGAGGAGTATTCAGTGTGAAAATATATCATAGTCCTAGTGTAGAGGCTTGTGTTGCTTACAGACAACAGACAGACAGACACATTTTGAAAAACTTCTTTAACTGTTGACCTTTCATCATTTTTTGGGTATTGAATGATGTTAACTCTGCACTTACATATTTATGAGTAGTGGGTGGACAGTGCTGAATCAAGTGTAAAAGAAACCAGAAAATCTTGAAATTTTAAATTCATGGTGATTGGATATTTTACTGTACTTCTGAAAGAAAATCATAGTTGAGAAACTGTGTTGCAGTTTTTAATTATTGGATATAGTGAAACAATATTAATCCTCAGAGATTTACTACAACCAGAGTTGACTGTTTAATTTAAAAGATGTGAAAAAGGTATTCTAGCAATTTTATTAGTGAAATGTTTTAAAAAGACCAAAAACACTGGAGAAACTTGACGTTGTTTCATTAAATGTGAATATCCTAATTTGCAAAACAGCACATAGACCAGCTTGTGTGTGCCAAATTTTGAAATTCCAGGAGTTATAGAGGCTCTGGTTGTAGTTAACGTGGTATTTAATATGTTCAAATGAATATTCAAAATCACAATGGAACTAATTGATTGAAAATTTGTATGCTAACAGTTTAACAATTTTATTTTTCAATTGTTGAGTCATAAGTTTTACTCTTTGATCGCAAATTTTAAATATTGTAATACAAGTTTCATTTTCCTCATGAATTTGTCTGTTTGTAGTCATAAATCTGAATGGCAACCTGGTGCAGTTGGCTAGCACTGCACCTGCAGCGCCCACTGCCTCTCCTCCTGCCCCTGCTGCACCAGCCCCAGTGCCTGTGACAAGCCCCAGCAACACAGCAGTGGCTGCTACTGCAGTACCTCAAGCTGTAGGGGTCAACGGCAGCAACATTGTGATGGTAAGAGGAGGAAATGGATGCTGCCCTTATTCTATG